CACTCCCCATGGGGGCTTTTCAGGGCCAATTCCTACCCAACAACCACCCCAGGGGAGGACATCCATCACACAGTAATCTCGTGCGTGGGAAGTTAGCGTCTCCTACCCCTAACCGTGCAGGAGACGGGACCTCCATTTATTCGCCCCAATCCGAGAAGACTAGAGTATCTAACCATTTCTTGTTAAAGAAAGGTAGCATATTCTTCTCACTTGTTTTAAGACCTCGAGTGTTGGTCCGGCCGGGTCTCCAACCCTCGACCTCCCGCACAACAGTCCAAGCAGCGCACTATCCATTGAGCTAACTGGGAGGCGGTTGCATTATGCGTTGCATTAGGAGTTGCATTAGGAGTTGCGTTAGGAGTTGCATTATGAGTTGACTTTTATTTATTTATTCATTTAGTTTGACCTTTTGGGCCGTTGAAATCTGTGTGATTTCTAATGTTCGCTTCATAAGCAATTTTGCCGCTGACAATATTTACCTCAGCAAACCTTCCCTCTGAATGTGTTTAAAGAGCGCTCAAAGCGTTATGTTCTTGTTGCTGAGTCAGAGTTCGATTGGAACGAAACGGGAGTAAAACAAATGAAAGAAATGGAAGAGAATATGGTGGAAATTTGGGCGGGGTGGACGCGGTTCCAAATGATCGCAACAATTCTTTGGATGAATCCCAATTTTCTAATCAGAAAGGGGAGCGATGAATAAAAACGAAAAAAAAACAAAAAACAAAAAAAAAGTGGGCGATTGGAGATAACAAACAAGCATGAATTTGTCTGGATAAGAAGTGTTGGGCAAAGGCCCTACTGCACCGGGCGAGCGTTTAAAAATGCTGCTTAGCTGGGGGCTGAAGAAGGGGCGGGAATTTAGCCGTGTTTCAACTCTAGGGGATCGGGAGGGTCGGGCCCCGGTTTCATATTGACTCATGTGAGAAGCACGTGATTCAAGTAGGCCGTGTAGAGTGTGAGCCTTCGCTCTTAAGTTCCTGAATCGAGTTATTCATATTGCGAATTGAGATAGCAGCCTGCCGTGGTTCTTCGCCAGAACTTAAGAATTGCTGCCTCTGCTGAACGGTTTCGGAATATTTAAAACGGTAAGCTTGATATTCTTGTGATCACTGATAGGACGATGCAAAGCAATTTAATTCTCAAAGCGGAAAAAACAAAAACAACATTCCAGAACTCCAAGACTGAAGCGAGATTCTCGATGAAAAAGCTGGTCATTGTTGCCAATTAAATAGAAGGAAGTCTTCCGAAATATTTACTATCCTTTCAGAATAGTAAACAATGAGTTTGAGGGAGTTTAATGCAAGATTGTACTTGTAATTTATTTTTGGCATACCCTGGACTGCTGCAGACGAAGAAAAAAACTCTTGTTATTGTGTTGTGGTCTCTTGAGACTTGTAAATAGGAATTTGGACTTATTTCTATTTTTGAACTAGGAAATAATAACAACAACAAGACATTTCAACATTTCGGAAGACAACACACCGCCAGCTATCTGCCTTGAGACGTACTTATTGCTGAGAATTTCTAAGCAGAAAATTCTTGCCACCACGTCATCGTTGGAAGCCATGTTGAGAGAGATCGACGTTGAGTGTTGGTCCGGCCGGGGCTCGATCCCTTGACCTCCCGCACTTCGGTCCAGTGCTCTATCCATTGAGCTAACCGGGAGGCGGTTAACTCATTGTAGCAAATGAGCGGGAAATGAGCGAGAAAACAGGCCACATGGTTGATACGTCTCCATACCAAACTAGGTAAATAACCAATTTTGCGCTAAATAACCAATTTTCCATGATTTTGGTTATTTAGCAAATAACCAATTTTCAGTTTTGGTTATTTACAAGTAACCAATTTCCGGTTTTGGTTATTTACAAACAAACAATTTTGAGTTTTGGTTATTTAGCAAATAACCAATTTTCAGTTTTGGTTATTTACAAGTAACCAATTTCCGGTTTTGGTTATTTACAAACAAACAATTTTGAGTTTTGGTTATTTAGCAAATAACCAATTTTCAGTTTTGGTTATTTAGCAAATAACCACTTTCATGTTTTGGTTATTTGCTAAATAACCAATGTCTCGATTTGGTTATTTATAAATAACCAAACTGCATTGTGGTTATTTACATATGACCATACTTGTTTTGGTTATATACAAATAACCTTAGGTATGATGCACGATCCTCGCAGTAGAGAGCGCTATTTATGCAATAGCGAAAATCAGACCTGAAAAAAATCAGGCCTGATTTTTTTCAGGTCTGATTTTCGCTATTGCATAAATAGCGCTCTCTACTGCGAGGATCGTGCATCATACGTATCTAATACCGCAGTTCAAAGTATATGAACTTCATATAATTATTCATTGTATACAAATAACCACTCAAAGTAATAAAAACACATTTGGCGCCCCATAATCGGGAGGGTCGGGGACCTGGGTTTCGACTCATATGAGATGCATGTGACTGAAGCAGACAGCTGAATAACGAAATGTTACGTTTAAGGTATACGGTCAACAATGTGGGCTCACGCGTGCGAGGTTCAAAATATAGCGAAACTTGCGAAAATAATGAAGGGTTGGCATTTAAAAACCGGGGCATTTTGTTGTCGTCGAGGGCATTTTCCTATTTTCAAAGTTTTAAGGAGAAAATTAATTTTCGAAAATATTAAGGGGGCGAACAAAGTTTGTGGAGGTTGTTCTTTAAAAGAAAAGCGGTAAGGCACACAAACAACGCCTCAAGGCAGCCCATGCAAACGACTCATCCGTTTTTCGCGCCAAAAACTTAGCGCGTGCGCATACGTTATTCAGGTCTGTCGTTGAATGAATATTTGGAAAATACTTTTACGAGTATCGTTGGGAGATTGCATCAGCAGCGTCGTGGTTCTTCGCCGAAACTAAAGAATTGCTGACTTTTCTCATCGGATTCAGAATATTTTGGAACGGTAAGCTTGATCTAACTGTGATGATCACTGATAGGAAGATACAATGCAATTTTCTCAAACGGTAACAACACGCAGACATAACGCAAACAACATTCCAGAACCCTAAGATTAAAGAAAGATTGATAATTCGATGAAAGAGCTGTTCATTGTTCTAAGAACAAACAGTGTAAGATCACGAGCTAAATCACTTGCTAACAGCTGAGATTTCACTGCGATGTCATTTTGTGTTGGACTTGTGAAGTCTATGTAGAACGTGTTGAAGAATGCCTCAAACGTGATTCGCACTCGCCTTCGCTTAAAAATTACGCCTGTTCTGCTGGCTATCTGTGCTTACGCTCTCCTAAAAATGGTGAAGAAGTTTTTTGAAATACTTAGAAAGAAATAGAGTAATGAGAAAATCGGTTGAGTTAGTAATCACAATGCAATTTTCTGTGTTATAATATTCCATGATTTTGCACTGCATAGCTGAACAAGCCCCGGTTTCTATAAAACATCCCTAAGTACCAAAGGTTTCTAAATGACGCTGACTGTCGAGCACTAAGACTCCCTCTACAATTACCCTTCAGAAAACATTTTGTTTGAACCTTTTCTTGAATAGGTTTCCTATTTAAGCAAAGTACTTGTGAATATGGCGACAGCATTGCAATACACTGCAGAGCAGCTGAACTACTACAGGATATCTTGTGTTGTCACGGACATACTTTCTGAGGGTCTGCGAACAATCTTCAAACAGGAATGGGACAATCGCTACATGACAACACTTGGAGAGTGGAAAGATCAACCCAAAAATGGATCAGACTTTTGGAATGGCGAGTCCCATAAAAAAAGAAGTAAAAATAAACGTCTGTTGACAGTCATGAAGAATGGCAATAGAGCTGAGTGGGATTGTACCATGCTATTTTATGCCATCCTGTATTCAGATTGCATTCAAAGTCTCAATCCAACAGTGGAGTCAAATGTGAATGACCTCAGGGAATTTCGAAATGAAGAATTTGCACATGTACCATTTGGCCATCTTTCTAAAATTCAATTTCAGAATGATATCCTCAAAGTCCTCAAAGCATTTCACAATCTTGGTCTTGACACTGCTAAAATCAAAGAAATCCAAAATCAAACCAGTTTTCCAACCAAGGAGTTAGAGGAGGTCCTGAGGAAGGTGGATGACCTTAAACACGAAGTTTACGAGAAGGAAAACAAACTCCAAGAAAAAGGAATGGAACTTCTAGAAAAGGAAGGACAACGACAGGTCTTGGAGGAACAGTTACAGACTGAAGTCTCTTCATTTTGCATTCTTCCTTCCGCACCTTCCCATGATGTTGCACCCCGTACTCGTCGCGTTGCTGAAATAACACAACAGCTTAAAGCACTGAAACAGGGTGATGAAAACTGTTTAAGCATCCTTTATGTATCAGGAAATCCAGGAAGTGGGAAATCTCAATTGTCCCGTTTAGTAGCCAAGCGATTCTATGATGAAGTTAAGGAGTTGAATACCACTACTTCATTTGTTATGACACTAAATGCCGAAAACACAAGAGCTCTTTTGGAATCATATGTTTCTTTTGCTCGGTATTGTAAATGTCCAGAGTATGCTGTTACAAACACCCTCAAATCCAGAGAGATTGACACAAATGAGAAAATTACTAATCTCAAGACGTTGATAAGCACTAAAATTGAGCTTTTCACATCCTGGCTGCTGGTGGTTGACAATGTCACTGATGTATCTGGCATACATAGTCATTTACCAGATGCAGGGAACAAGCAGTGGGAAAGAGGCCAGATGCTCATAACAACACAAGACACCATGTCCATCCCATTAACAAGCTCTCGCATACAACATATCTCAGTCAGCACAGGCATGGATCCTGAAGATGCCAGATTTTTGTTGAAACAACTTTCTGGTGTCACTGATGATGAGATGGAAAAAGAAGTTGCACAAGTATTAGACTACCAACCTCTTGCCCTGGCAAGTGCTGCTACATATGTCAGAGAAGTTGCACAGAACAAGGCAGCTTCCAACTTTGGTTGGATTGACTATTTGAAGAAATTGGAGGAAGGAAAACGGAGAAGTACAGAGAGTATTCTTGCTGAAACCAACTCAAGTTACCCAATATCTATGACCACTACAATAAGACTTGCTTTAGAGAGAGATATGACATCTCACAAAGTTATTTATCACACATTCTCTTTTCTCTCCCTATGTGCACCACAACCGATACTTCGAGATGTTGTCACCTGCTACATTTCGGAAACAGATAAAGAATTTGTTGACGAAGAGATGGTTAATGTTAAACTAAACCGATGCTCACTGTTGTTATTTTCAGAAGATGAGGGCTGTGTCTACATTAAAGTCCACAGAGTTGTCTACGAAGTCATCAATACTGTAGTAAGATGCCACACAAAGGATGAACACCTTAAAGTCATCCATGGGGCCATTACAACCTATTCACAAGGCATTTACCAAGATCCATCCAAGATTGGGCAAGACGTAGATCGCATATTCCTTGGCAAGAGTATAGTCCCCCATATTAAAAATTTGATCACTGAAACAGATCCATTGTTTTCTGAGCAAGGAATATTGGAAGTTGCAGAGAGTGGCATTGTAACGGTTCAAGACTTCACTGAAAACTTTATAACACTTGGAGAGATGTGTGTTGAACATTGTGAATTGGAGACAGCACTGAAATGCTTTAAGGTGGTCTTAGCCTTTGTCAACCTAGGTGTGGTAGATTGCAACAAAGCAGAGGCAGAGGCCTACAGTGGCTTGGGTAAGGTGCATTGTGACCTGGGTAAACTAGAGCAGGCAAAGGATTACTTTACACATGCATTGGACATCTATTGCAGAAATTTTAGTTCAGACCATGTTTGTGTTGCTTTTTCTTACAATAATCTTGGTATCGTGTGCAGTCGCCTTGGTGACCTGGAGCAGGCTAAAGACTTTTTCCTGCATGCATTGGACATCCAAACAAAAACTCTTAGCCCTGATCATGAGGACATTGCAACTTGTTATCACAACCTAGGCATTCTACATCGTCACCTTGGTGACCTGAAGCAGGCAAAATTCTTTACAAGGCATGCACTGGTTTTGCGCATCAAAAAGTTTGGACTTGAGGATGTCTGTGTCGCATTTACATACTATGAGCTGGGTGTTTTATACTGGTATTTTGGTAAATTAAAGAAGGCAAGAGATAGCTATGAAATTGCACTTAATATATATATGAAAAAGCTTGGGTCTCAGCATGTTAAAGTGGCATCTGCTTACATTTCCTTGAGTTTTGTGCATGCAGCAAAAGGTAACTTTGAACTAGTAGCAGACTATCATGCCCGTGCACTGGACATTCTTTTGAAGAAGTTCGGACCTGAGCATGATTATGTCCAAAAGATTCAGATAAGTTTAGCTGAGCTGCAGGACAGAATGGAGAGAACCCCATGTTGCCTGGCTTTTCTTTCAAGGAGGATATGACCCATGGCTCTATCTACTTAACTAGCATAAGGGTAAGAAGAAAAATGAAAGAGATAAACTGTACTTTTGATCGAGATACAAGCCACAGGGTTTGGTAAATATGCACTAGTCTCACAGTGCTTGAATTTCCTACCCCACTCCCTCCCCTATGCTTCTCCACCAATTTCCCCACAATTTCTGGAATAGCTTTTTTGGTCAATTGAACAGCACAATGATGGCTCTTTTTGTATTCACTTCATGGCTTATCTTTTTTTTTTTGTAGTCTTGTACCTTAACTTTAGCTAGTGCTCAGTACAATCGTCAAGGTTACTGGTATTTTAAATATTAATTTAATAAGACCTTAATGCATCATCTTTGGAATAAATGAGTTGGCACATTTCACCTGCTGCAATTTTTGCAATTCGCAAACATAGTGTTTCAGGTGACCGAAACCCAAGGTGACCAGTACCAGGGTGGTACTCCATAAAGGCTGTACCATTCAAATTTTTACGCCCAGTGTTCCCAAGATTTTGTTTTGCTAACTCTCTGTGCTTTTCTTTAGTGGGGGCTTTTCCACATAGTTCATTCTCAAATTTTTTTTGGCAACTCTCTGCATCTTAAACTGTCCAAACTGGTTCTGGACAGATGATCTTCATGTCACCTAGTTGGCTCTGGTGCTTCTGGGATTAGATAAGTAGATTTGGCAGATGAACTGCCAGTAGATAACCTCCTTTCCTTACCATCCCCAGAAGTGTGTCTTAGACTAATAATTTTTATTTCTCTCCCAGTCAGTGGATGTTTAATTGTTTTTAGCTCTTGAAGCTGTTTATAAACAGCTTGACCACATTTTTTTTGTCGTCTCCTAGTCATCACTCCCCAACCAAAGGGCAACAGTCAAAACTGTGCTAAGTAAATTGTAAGGCTCAACTAGTTTCACTCTTACACTGGTTTCTGTGGTAAAATGATGAGACCATTTAAGCCACAGAAAACCATCTGTGTAATCCATTAGAATCAGNCCGCGTCAAAAAGCCCGCGATAATGGAACTGACTTCGAGAGAGCAACGAAGGCTCGATCAAAACTTCTTTAAAATCAGCACATATAAAAAATAAAATCAACACAAACACACCATTCCCAGAAACAAGGCAGCTTTAATACGAATAACATTTACTGTTGATAAAGCGAATGCCCGATCCAGTACATAAGTATGAAATAAAAAAGCAAACTTCATACAAATTATGCATGAGTACATCGAGCTTACGTTTGGATTGTCTGCAATGTTCATCGCGAAAAGCTGTCAAAGTATTTAGCCACGCAGACACGGAGTTTCTTTTCATGGCAGTAGCTGCATTGTTCAAACTACCCATGACAAGTCTTCTCACTTGTTAAAGTGCGAAAGAAGTTAGCTACATCGACCTCGAATCGCGCCGACCGGCCGTCATGAAAACAGGATGAATTGGTGCACGCGTTGGTTAATGGGATAGGGCATTAAAATTTCTTTCCCCAGGCCGCCGCAATGACGTCACAGATCACCTGGTGTTGATAATTATGAAGCTACGAAAACATGCCGATTCATCCCAATGACTTGAGTGGAATATTTATTTGGAAAATTGCGTCAAAACTTTACACCCGAGAAATGGTAAGTACTAATTTATTGTTTGATGGTAGTATTTTAAAACGTTTCGCGCAAGTTTAGGCAGGTACTTCCGATATTTAAAAGGTGCCAAGGTATTTGGTAGTTTTAGCGGATGTCAGGCGTAGACATCCACCAAAACAGTGATCAAAACCAAAAACAGTACTTTTTGAATTTTATCTATGGCCAATGTTAGACCTTAAAGGAAGCAAAAGAATTATATTCCACAAAACGTTAGCAGTTTACGTCCTGGCCAATTATTTCTTATAATGCACAACTGCTGACCAAACGTTCATAATGAAATCATAAGACATGAAATTAGATTAAAGTGGTTTTGGTGGATATTTCTCTCTCCATCCACCAAAACCACCATGACAATTTCTGTTACTTCCATCAGAGAGGAATGGTTTGACCTGCTACTGGAGTAAATAACCACAATTTATTTCTTTGTACATAGATATTTTTGCAAAGTTCTTAAGTCAACAGCTTTTATTATTGAAACCATAATTGTCACAAAGTTTCAGTACCAGCACTAGTACCAGTACCAGTAAATTATACAAAAAGTCTAGAAAGATTTCAGCTTACATCTCGTCTATGTGGCATATTAATGCCTTCAACCATTATGTTTTATGCGAACCTCGCAAACTTTTAAACATGTTCTCTTGTGATACCTGCGAAAGGATTCAGTATAATTTCCCGTAAGATTTTTGCGGACAATCTGATCGATTTCTCTTACATTGTGTGCTGAGACTGAAACCTTTCACCTCGAGCAAAGCTCCGTTGCACGGCCCAATCAAACATGGCGAGCAACTAAGCTTCTTGCATATGTCCGTGTTAAAACATACAAAAGGACTCTAAAGCATACTTCACTCTTATTGGGCAGAAAAACACAAAGATTTTCTGGCACCAATCAAATGCCAGAACGACTGTGACCGTTTGGCACCAGTGTTGTAAGACAACGTCCCCAGGGGCTCTTCCGCCGTAACTTGAAATCGACTCACAGCCCCTGGGTCTCCCAGGATGGGGAGAAGATAGCAGCTGCTCACAAATCGATTGCAGCATTGAAGAAAAGTGTCGAATCTCTTATGGCAAAACGATGGAGACTTGAAGCTAAGGTCATTTTCCTCTTTCTAATCGAGAGATTTTTGCTTTGAGCTAGATCCTGAAGTAATATCTCATGAAAATAGTATTTTCCTGTAAGCTTAAGTTTGACTGTTTTGACAATCATGTTTGATATGCTTAACACAAGTTCATGCAGCAAAATATGTTCAGTACAGTAGTTTGGAAAGTTAAATATTTTTTTAACCAGAGACAGCGAAAAACTAAATACCTAGTTTTTCACACTAGCAAGTTAAGATTATTGGTGGTATTCTTTTGGATGTGAATAGCCAGGGGTGAATATGATTGCTTTAAGACCAAGTTTGTTGACTTAGAACAGATTGAATGATTGCTATACATAGTGTGTTTGTTTTATATCATTTATTTGAACTTTGAGAATTTATAGTTACTGATTTGCTTTTTGATAAATTGAAATATGCTAGGTAGCTAAGTAAAGTAACAGAGAAGGTCAATATGAGTCAGTTAGATTACCAGTGTAGCCAGGTTTCAGCAGTCAGCAGCATCAGACAAGCAACTTGTGATCAAGAAGGGAATATCAAGATAAAGGAAAGAACCCTTGCAAAGAGGCATGCAGGAAAATTTGAGGTTTTACTCAAAATTCATGGGGGAAAAACCAAGGATAGCAAACCGGCTGCTGCTGGTTTAGTCGATGATCTAAAAACTAAGTTTCCAAGAAAAACATCATCGAGTTTAATTACAAGGAAACGAAAGTTATGCACCTAGGTTTTTCCAGATATTTACAACAAGGAGATAGATGCTTTTGAAAGCTCACAAGAAAACATGTTACGCAGTATTGCTACTTATTTTTCAAAAGGTGTAATGGGGAAGAGAAAGTACAGAGCTGCATACAAAGCTCTCTCTTTGAGAAAAAGTCACCTGAAGGGTTTTAAGCTAGAGGGGATTAAAGTTATGGGCTGTAAAGTCCCTCGCCTTTTGCAATACAATAAGTTGATTGATCAAGTTAATTCTATTGACAGAGAACAATTCTGTAAAGATCTTGAAGATTGTGAAAAAGTAAGCGGTTGTTTCCGGCCCCTCTTGCAGTTTCTCCCACTGCTGGCTTCATTTTACTTAGAATTAGAAAAGGAAACAGGTGAATAATTACTTTGGTTTGGTGAAGTAAACACTTTCCATAGTCTTAAGAGGGGATGGGGCCCCTTTCAGGAAAGAAGACATGGCATGTGCATGGTTAGTGAGCTTCCTGAATAGGGGCAAACGTGTTTTGAGTAGCAACGAAAACTTCATGATATTTGGAGCGAATTGCTCTGAGGACTCAGTTGTGGTCTGACATTATATGTCTTATCTTTTCAAGGAAATGTTAGTTATGGAGAAACAGAGCTACAGTATCAGCAGCAGGGAAATTAGGTTCAAGTTTTCTGAATTCCCTAATGACTTAAAGATGTTAGCTTTTTTGGCTGGGGAGCTTCCTGTGTCTGCTAAATTTTTTTCAACTTTTGACATTGTAAGCACTGGGGACTATAATGATCCAAAGGGGACATTTGGAAAGGAGAATCAACACAAGTGGAAACCATGGCCCTATAGCAGTAGGTTAAAAGTTTCAAAAGAGGTTAAGAAAGTCAAAAAGAAAGTTGAGAGGCAGAACATTTCTTCTAAAACCAAAAGGAAGAAAGTAACAGTTTTCATAGCATCCCAGAAAAGTAGACAGGAATTTGAGCCTCTTATTGGTGATTTTATAGACAGGGTACATGTGGAACCCCTTCATTCCAAAAATAATGCCTGTCAACAACTTTTCAAGGAAATTCTTTAAGAGAGTATTGGGAAGTCAGGCCCTCCAGCAACAGTGATACAGTTTGATTCTGTTCCTGTAGCTTCCCCATTCAAAAATCTGGTGCACAGCCTTGAAAAAAGGGGTTTGACAAGGCTTGCAAACAGGGTCAAACGTTGGTTTAACGAGACAAGTGGGGCTGGTGTAGACTTTCAGTACAGATTTACGGGTCAGGATTCAAGACTTTTTTTAAAGAATTTCATGCATCTCATTGATGCTTTGAAAAAGTCTTCAGACTCAGCTCATCAGGCACTTTTACTACATGTCTTTGCTTACACTGGGATTCAGTTGAGACAAAGTGTTTCCCTTTTTTTGTAGGGTTGTCAATGATAACTCCCAGGATTTAGTGTCACTGAAGAATTCGTGTTTGAACTTCTTCCGGGCTAAGGCCTTATTTTCAACTGTAACACCAACTACATGGACCTTTGGTCATATAATCCCAGCCCATGCACAGGATGTTTTTGAGAAGTACAGTCTTGGCCTAAATTCTGTGTAAATGGAGGGGCGGGAGGCGAAACATATTGCCATAAGTCGATACAGCCAAAATAGATTACTTTGTGTATGTTTGATTGCCACTTGTTGTAAAGAAGACACGTTTATTAAAAGTAGACAAAAATTTGCCAAGACCACTCTTTTAGTTTGTTTGTTTTGTTTGTTTTTCGATATAACAAACCCTTGATTTAATGGACTAATCGCTCCAGTTCCTAGCAAGTTCGTTAAATTGAGGTTCAACTGTAGGGTAATATATTATTGCCAACAGCTTATATCGAAGAACAAATTCTCCTAACATTTTATAAGTTACCATTTGGGAGATTGAGAGGCTATTTAACTACCAAACTCCTTTTTG